TTCAAGGCGACCACGAGCAAAAGGTGTTCGATAGTTATTATTGCATTGAATACAAAATGTGGCGAAGCCCTTTACTTGGCTATCTTGTACCTTTGACCAGAAACGGTTAAGTAGGGGTTCAACTTGTTACTTTACTAAACAGATTTTCAGATATAAACAGCATTTAACCTTGTGTAAACATAATTATATCGTAGTGTTTTTTTGGATTCCGAATATTAATGCACTATCAAAAGTTTAGTATTATCATTTAATCTACTTCGCAGGGCACTCCACACTCTAGTGCGTTCCCTGCATAGAAACTACAGCGAACTAACTTCATGACGGGCCTTTCCATGGGTAGCCTCTCACTCGAGACCATGGTTCTATCCATGGTCCAAAGTGAGAGCGCGTACGATTTCGAGGTCTTGTTTTCCGAAGAAGAAGAAAAATATGTTGGCCAAAGAGTGGCCGCTACTGTGAAACGGGAGATGACAAGCAATTTTCCGTGCCAAGTAGATGCACTAGGCTTTAGAGAGCGCAAAACGATTTCCGATCTTCATGAGCGCGGACCTGGGGGTAACGTTATATACATATATATACATATATATATATATATATATATATATATATATATATATATATATATATATATATATATCTACATATATTCGAAATTTACTAATAACTTAACCCTTTCTTTTACATACATATAAAAGAAAGGGTTAAGTTATTAGTAAATTTCGAGAAATTGCATTTACTAATAACTTGTAATGAAATTGTTCAACATCACACAAAGCAAAATTTAAATACTTATTAAGGGAAACGCATCTAAACTTTAGCTTGTACACCTCTGCTTAGTTTGGGACTAGATGGCGTTTGGCGTTGTGTGAATGTGGCAAAAAAAAAAATGTGACGAAACAACATGTGGAGACAGCTCGAGTCCGTCATACAACTTCACTATAAGCTCTGATGAAGTGAGGACCCGTGGGGGTTTCCACACGAAAATGAAAACATTAGACAGCAAAGCCTTTTGAAATAGTAAAAAGTTAAATATGAGTACCTGCTACTGTACGTAGAAACAACCAAATGCTAGTAAAATAAATAAAGAATTAGTTCCTTTTAACCTTTTTTGTCAGGCAGACGACAATAGTGAATTACAACAAAGTTGTATTCTTTCCGTTCCATAAATAACCAAGTTAAAAAAAGACGAGGCCCTTTTACATTTTCTAATAGACAAGTCCTATTAACGTGTGGCAGTATGTATGCATACAAAACTTTGTGAATACGTAGCAATTCAAGCGGGGCGACAGGTGACGAGAATGGGTTGTCGTTCCGTTTCACGTTCGACGCTTACTGTCACATTCACACGTCCTTTTTGTTCAGGTACGTCCACAAATCGACAATTTACTTTGTCCTCATTTTGAAAAAAAAAACATGTCTATGGATTTTACTAATCTTTAGATCAGAGAACAGTTATTTGCTATATATAACCCCTTATTTAAGTAAGGTAAGTATAGTTACATAGGTAATAGAAAGTAAGAACAAGAAGTCAAAATATGCTGATTTTTATTTAGTTAGTCAGTGGCTTGTCCTTTTATCTTAGTTCTTAATTGCATTAATTTATTTATTTTTTATTTAAAGTAAATTACACGGTTATTCGTTTTAATTAATTTTAACATTGATTGTGACAAGCGGCGGTAGCGTAACGGCGCTGCGGCGGCGTAGTGCACAACGTAACTTGACTTTGGCTGCATGGATAGCGTAGTGGCTCAAGCGGTCACCTCGCCACTTTCTACTGCGCTGACTGTTGTGGGTTCGATCCAAACATGGGACAACATTTTGTGAGATCTAGAATATATCCAAAGTACGGGAGTTATCTTTTTTTTGTTAAAAAAAAACCAGAGGGTTGCACTGGTCACTATAGACGTGGAGAAGCCTCAACTTTTAGCTACATTTTTGACCAGCAGAAGCTGATCAAAGTATTTGGCTTAAGTTGAGTTGTTAACTATAATATTAATAATATGACTGTTACCTACATCACCACTATTCTTTAATATAAAAATAAGACTGGAATAAAATTTCTCGTTAGTAAAGTAGAACACGTTAGTTGCACTAACTTTTAGCAAAATATTACCATATAACATTATATACATACACACATAATGTAGTTCCAACAGATACAATCCCAGTTAAATTTAGTACCTTCCACTCCCGGCTTTGAAAATATCAGCACAGAAAGTATTTCATAAAAATAACTTTCATGTTTAATAAAAATACAGTGTAAATTGTGGTTAAAAAAATCATTCACATCTTTAAACGAAAACTTCTAGCCATATCACAGTTAATCCTCAATATTAGCAAACATTGAATTTATACTTACCTGTATCTTCATTGAGGTCTAAATTAAGTAATTTATAAATGCAAATATTCTAGAAAACTAAATGTGTAAGTACCCACCAACCAAAATATTCAATTAGTGTAATTACATGATTACTTGTCAAGTGTTTTTGGAACGTATAATGTGTTGGGTAAATTGATTTACTGTGGCTACATAAATCAGGATCAAAACCTGTATATTGAGTAAACACTTATCTGTTTGCATTTATAGTTGCCATCAAACGCAAATCGGCTTTTTGGGAGCGGCACTTAGCGATGTTGGTATTAAACTACTTGGGCTTCGTTTGTGGTGGGTATAAATAAACTAAGCGTTACAGTTCCATTTATACGAGTGTAAAGTGAATCATTTATTGTAAATAACATATGGGATTGACAGCCATATGTTATTTACAACAAATGTTTCTCTTAATAATATGAAATCAAAGTTTTTTTAATCCTATTGGAAAAATTGTGGAGTTTTTAACGGTTTTATTCGAATGATTTCTTTGTCTTTGATTCTATTTACACACTACTTATAATAATTATTTAAATAAAAGTGTTTTTAAAACTTACCTATTCTTCGTCTCTGTTGTGGATTATCAAGAGTAGTCGCGTATTCAAATACATTTTTTTTTGTTTATTTTCTAAACTTAATTTTAGTTTCTGTTAGTAAAAGTTATAAGTAATAACAAATTCATAAAATAAGTTTTTTGAAAACAGTTAAGAACGATCATTTTAAGCAAAATATATTGTTAAAATAAATTAAAACCCAATGACCCTTGTATAACATTCAGCTTAAACACAATTTACTTAATTCTCTTAAAAAAGTATCACCTTCTCCAAGGTCTCATAAATTATTTATGATAAACTATGATTTTCTTCCTGTATTTTTTCAATCTTAGACGTCAAATAATTTATTTACTTAAATTTTTCATAATCGTAAGTACAGGCAATTCATGAAGTCAGTTCTCATTTATCAAGCAACAAAAACAGAGAAAAAACATTCGAAAATGGACCTTCGCCTTTTAGAAGTCGGTGAAAATTAATTATTCATCATCAGTCCTTTTGTATTTTCATTTTTTAACCCACTCCCTGTAATAGCTTTTATATTATATTAACAATATTATATATAACAATTAACAAATCTGAATACATTTCCACCGTAGCGCGTAGGCTTATTCGAACTTTACTTTGAAATTTACTTTAGCTTGTATCGGGACTCGCAACATCACCTCAGGCTTCTCATTTTACTTAAAGACATCATATAATCATCACCATAAAGGCATTTGAACGGGATCTTAGTATTTGAAAGCTTCGTGGAAATTGAGATCTCTAATTACAATTTGCAATGGTAACGATTTCTGGCAAGACAGCTGTTTCGAGTTTCATCTACTTACTTTGTGTAATGATAATTTTTATATCTTGCAATACTATGTGTTACTGTTTTGTGAGAAGACACTCATAATATTCTACCTTTCAGTTAATTGTTATTTAGGAGAAAATTGCTTGTAACAGAATTTTAAATATTATCTATATTTTTTCTCATTTGCGTTTTTTCATAGTTTGTCATTGTTGTTCGTTTGAAATTATTGCGTTTCTTCACTAACTTGACTGTACTCTTTATAAGAGGTATCCATATCTAAGATTTATACAAACATTTTAATACCCGTATAGCACCAATAGAAAAATGAAAAAGTAGCCCTCTATTTATTATAATCCCTTTGACATAAATTATCACAATATATAAAAAAGATTGATGAAGTACATGAATACCTTTAGCGTTACGCGCTTAATAGTAACTTAAGTAGTAGAAAAAATATAGCTCAAACATGACCTTCACACAACAATAGTAATATTTTGCATGTAATTATTATAAGAAAAAACTTTTTTCAGTGATATTAGTATATGGTTTGACTGACATGTGTATTTTCGAGATAGAAGGGACTGAAGAATTTTTTTTAGAAGGATGGGGTCTTTATTTACTTGTTAAGTGACCTGTTGCGACAGTATGGCATCTGACACCGACGCAGGATTCGCTTTAACTTTTCATGAAGGCCCCACGTCAACCCCAAAATTATTCGCACAATCCCAAAATAACGTGACGTGAGTAAAACTGAAGGAATTAGAAACGCAGATGGCGCTTAACATATGGCAAGCTAGCCAACATTTAAAAAAGACTGAAGTAGACGAAGAAATTATGAAAAACATTCCATATCAAGAGTTGATAGGGTGCCTCTTATACTTATCACATGGCACTAGACCAGACATAGCCTATATTGTTAACCAATTAAGTCGTTTCAATAACAGCCCAACCGCTCAGCATTGGACAGCGGCCAAAGGAGTACTCAGGTACTTAAAAGGAACAAAAAATATTAATCTCACATTCAAGAAAGACTACAAATTAAATTAAGGGATATTGTGATGCCGACTGGGCAACGAACACTGAAGACAGAAGATCATGTACCGGATATGTATTTATCTTTCAGGGCGCTTCAATTAGCTGGTGTTCTAAAAGACAAGCTACTATAGCTTTGTCTATCACCGAAGCAGAGTACATGTCGTTGGCCTCGGCCACTCAAGAGGCCATTAGGCTCAAACAATTAGAAGAAGAATTCTACCCTTCTCTTTCAGGTACACCAATAGTTATGAACAGTGATAACCAAAGTGCAATCAGTATTGCATTGCATGATGGCTACCATGCACGGAGTAAACACATTGACATTCGCTACCACTTTGTGAGGGAAAGGATCAAAATGAAACAAATCTCTGTTCACTACGTCAGTACACATGACATGTTCACCAAGGCAATGGGTCTGCGTTCCTGGGAGAATGAAGGAATTAGAAACGCAGATGGCGCTTAACATATGGCAACATTATTTTTAATCAGTATTCTTATATAGATTCTCTCTGCCCTTTTTCCTGTAACTCTGCCATAAGCTCATGTTCTGCTCTGTAAATTATTTTAATAGTAAATTAAAAATACTTTCACGAAAGCTCGTTTAATTTCATCAAAAACCATATATATCTTAATTATTGTTAATTATATCCTAAAAATACCAAGGCAAATTATACTGCATAATTCTCATTTAAGAATAACTCGTTAATCAGGCAACATATAATTGAGCTTGTCGGGCCTGATTGTCTAGTGGTTTATCAGACTGCTAAGCCAGAAGTATTGATTTGATTTGCCAGGTTTGATTCCCACTCAGGATAAATAATTGTGTAATGAGCACGATCATTTCTTTTGTGACTGGGTGTAATTTAACTGAGTAAAATATGGATGTATTTAATATTTTTATCAGCCATCTTGTTATCGTAGTATAGGCTCTGCTTAATTTGGGATTAGACTGTCGTGTGTAAAAACAATAGGAAAATAGGTCTGTAATTTGCAAAACAACATTATATACTTGTATATTATGTATGACCTGAAGCATTTACGACGCTTTATTAAATTATATTTTAAAAATAGTATTCCTGTGTAGTTTGAACTAAGGTTCTGAACAAAGTAAATGTTGCTTTACGTTACTTTACGTATGTTGTATTAAAAGGCAAATATTACACAAATGTAAAGTACGCAAAACTAAAAATAAACAGTACCTAAACTTTTCATATTCATAATAACCCTTCGTGTGACCGACGATATTCTTTATCTAGTCTCTTAACCATAATTAATACTAACATTATTGCAATAATTGATGTATATTCGTATCAGTAATCCATCTTGTCAAAGTTCTTTACGTCGCACTCCTTGTACAATTTAAACTAACAATAGGCTATGATAGGGACAATAATAATATGGTTAGAAGTAGAGGGTGCCAATAATCATACTTTTTAGGGTAGCTAATCATTTTTTCTTTGATTTTGTTGAATTGTCTGTACATCAACCTATCTATATGGTGCCGTTATAATAAAGTATAAAGTTAAGTGTCAACACTTCAAAGAATAACATCTACAAACTAATAGTTTTTCAGTCTTAACTCATTTCTAAGGTTTGCGATCAGTTTAAGTAAAATATCAAAATATTTTTCATATCATGTGTTATCTGTAGATGTTTCTTTCTAAACCCAATATTTTAAAGATATATCTCTACCGTTATAAATTTATTTTGAACTTAATGAAGAATCATCTAAAATTCAAAAGTTTATTTTCTTAGCAAATGACCAGTGGTAAAATTTAGTGTTTAAGGCATTTTTGAGTATCCCCAGGCCTTCACGAACACTAGTTTTCAATAGAACTGTATAGCAACTGTATAATGCATCGAGCTGATTTAAACCACATGATGTAGATTTGAAAATAAGAGATGAAAGACTGTTATTAAGTCAAACCGCTCGAATCTTGATACGATAGTAAAGTTTAACTAAAAATCGTTTACATCGATTTATCGAGGTATAGTTTAATTCAAATTATGTTTAGACTTTCCGTATTATGATATTCAGACGTCCACATTAATACCAAAATTTCAAAGGCTTTTGTAGCCTTTTTCACAGAATTTTTAAATTTACATACGCAAATACTGATTAAAATATTTCGTCCATACTTCTTTTATTCATTAAAAAATTTAGTATTCTAAATTTTACCTTATTCCATCAGTAAAATTTGCTTAAAAGAAGGTATACGGTATTGTCTTATTGTATTAATACAAAAATATTTAGTAGTGACGTAGTGATGGAGGTTTTTTAACAAAATAAACACACACTAGGCATAACTGGACTTCCCAAATGCATTCAAAATTGTGCACAACTATTGGTGAATGGTAGTTACTCGATTATGGTTAAACGATTCTTTTCAAAATCATTTTTGTGTAAGCGTGTGTGCCTTCCGGGCTTTAACCTGTAACTATTGTACTGCTGAATATACTGAATGAGCCGTACACGATGATTATAGCCATGTACTTAAATTGAAGAGTAAATTTGATCGGATATAATCCAATTTTACCGTAAAGCTATTGTTTTTGAACAATATTAAAAAAAATTAATTCCCTCATCTTTTTGGGATGAAATCCTAAATAATAAAAGTCATAGTATTGTTGATTATCGATAGTTATCAATTATACTCTTTTGATGTTAAATATTCTACAAAAGTCTATTTGTATTTGTTATCATTGAGAGCCAAAAAAAACATGTAGATTTTTGTAGAATTAGAAAAACAAGTTATGTCAAGTTTTTAAGTACCGTCTGTCACACATAAATATATCAAGTTACAAATATATTAAAACAATAGTTTCCTTTTTCGTGTGAAACACCCACATGGACGTGATGTTGTATGTCGGAATCGAACCGACTGCCACCACACGGTGTCTGTCACCATGTAAATCTATTGCAAAGGGATTCCTCCAAGGGTATATCCTAGGACAGGAGTTAACGACGAATATGGGCGACAATACTTAAACTTCTAAATTATTAAATGATACACAGATATTAACATATAGCTTTATTATCATACTAAATATGAAATTGATATAACACAGCGCTAAACACGTAATAAATTAGGCAGAAATCGCTCAACGGGTTGTGTGATTGTTTCGTATAAGTGTATCAGAATTTTGTTTGTTAATCTATGTCCAATAATTACAAAGAAATTATCGTAATGATCCGAGTAATCGGCAGAGGAGCTTCCGAGATAACGGAGTTAATACTAAATCATATAAGTTGGAGAGTTTGTCATACTTTGTCCACACAGCTAAATATGAACTTGTGTTATATGTAAATGTTACGTTTAATAAAAGCCTATCTAATGAGACTTACAATATCTATTATATAGTACGACTTCTCTATAACTTGTTATAGGATTGTGTACAAAATTACCAACTCATTCATACTGTTGCTCTATATTATACAGTGATTTCAGACCACATAATGCGGCATTGTCATAGAACAATCAACCAGTTTCAGTTTGAATCCCACCCGTTTAAACGTTACATGTAACTGTTTAGTTGATATATTATTGCTTATTCTTGTAAGTTATATAACAGATAACGAGACATTTAACTTTAAATTGGATTTTCAGAACACAGGCAAATGTACGCTCACAATGATTTTTTTTCTTTGAAAGTAGAAAACGCCATGAAATGTAAAGAATTTTTTCTCTTATACTTATAATACCTATACAATAATATATTATGATGATAATATAGTAAACAGTTATTTCTTACGGGTGGAAAATTTAAAAACCCATTATTCAACCTTTGGACGAATTGTATTTTATATATTTTGGGAAATGAAGTTTGCTGTAATCGGGTTAGCAATATAAGCCATACCATATTCAGCATACATGCATCATGTACCCGTGATATTGTAATAACGTAAATCTGACACAAAATATAACGGACAGTAGCAACAATTTGTAACAAAATGATTTGTCTAAAATGTGTTTGAATTTCACTAGTCCAGTGTCAAGCACCTTTACTCACAATTTGGCCTGACGAGAAACAAATATTGACCTGCCCTATTCACTTCCCAACCTTTTATGTTGGCTTTATTTGAGCTTTCAGTAAATAAAATTGACCATTTTCCTTCTGTCATATAGATTCTTAGGATAAATTGTTATTTAGATAGGAACCTTTACATCGCCGTTTAGTGGTTCTGACACTTTCATATAGGAAACGTTTGCAGACAATATGTACAATATAAGACAAATATCATTTTTTTTCTTATATCAGGATCGAAGAAATTTCTAGAGAATTCATTAAAAACAATTTTTTTTTGTTTATTTATGAATTATATTTCTTTTAAAACTAAGTCCTGGCCCTCGTAGAGTATCTTCATACTGATATATTTTCTTATTTATTTAAAAGCAGCCGAGCATTACTATCGAAGCACTTAAGTTAGTAATTCAATTTTCCCAACTAAATAATCAAAACATTAAATATTCTTTCTTGTGCAACATTTAGAATACACACTTAGATAAAAAGTACATTTGAGATAAAAGTTACTTGTGCAGCGATTTAATATTGCAAAATAGTAAGATTATAGGTAAATCATTTTCATATGTCATCACACATCACATCAACAGCCTTTAATAATCCACTGCTGGTATAGGGTTTCTGTCAAGTTTTCCTTCTCTTTGAAGTGCTGTTGTCCTACGTAGTTTGCTCCCTTAGTCGGCTCTTACGACACCCATGGGAGGAATAGGGGTGTTGACATTCCGTATTCTTAATCTACGGAGAGATATGTAATTTTTATTTGTAAGATTGTAAGATTTTGATATGTAATTTTCAAACATACATTCTATGATAAATGTTAAGACCTAAAGTACTGGAAACAGTATAAAGTAATATCTTTAAAGATACATCTGTTCTCTTATTTAACTTTATTAACGTTAAAGTGTATTTGTGACATATCTATTTTTATAAAATATTTATAAAAATAGATATGTCACAAATACATGTGCTGTAAACACTTACATTACCAACCAAGATAATTCCGTAATAAGCGCTAATGTTAATGAGAAAAAGATATTCATCATTTTAACTTTTCTCGTAGACTGAGATTTTTATCATTTGATTTCAATCGTTATACACTTACTGTTACTCGAAAATATGTAGCATGATCTTGGCTGTTAACGAAATTAAATATAGTTTCGAAAATTTCATTGATTTAACCGTTTGTTAAAAAATAAACCTGGAGTACTTTTGCAGAGATTTTCGCATGTTTTCATCAGACTGACAATTTCATTTTCTTCCATCATCAAACCATACCTCAAAAATTACGTCGTCCGCCTCAAAACCTTCACTTATTTCACCTGCAGCATAGGGTTTGCACTTTACACGAGCGCATCTAAGTTCTGCATTCAAAATCCCGCGCCACTTACTAACTAAACTTATGGTTTATGTTTTTCTGCCCATTTTATTTTTCTTCTAATT